CCGCCGATCGCCGCTGGACCACCGCCGGTCGTCACCCCTGGACCTCGCCGGACCGCCGCCGCATGGGTAAGATCGAAACCCTCTCCTAGGGTTTCGCTCAGGTATACTCTGGCCTTTGATGAAAATTTACAGTTAATTTATAACTTTGTTGAAAATTACAGTAAATCTTCAAAAAAATTTTTTTTTTTCGCTGCGTCTAATCTCTGGGTTGTTGACTGGCGTTGTTGAGTATTGACAGTAGTAAAAAAAAATCTCTAGCTTTGTTGAAAATTATAGTAAATTCTGGTGATTTTTTCTGCTACAATTGCACGTTATTTTTCCCTGAAAAAATTAGTTGTTTCTGTTATTGTTTATGCCCGTGTGAAAGAACAAAGAGATTGAAACAAGAACTCTGTGTTCATCGTTCTTCTCATTTGTTCGTGCTAGTTGCTTCACACATTTCGAGCCGGATAATTACCGAAATCATCGTGCTATTTGCTGTTTGTTTTTCTGTGTGAAAAATGTCTGCTAATCAATATGGTATGGTTCAATATGATATGGCTCCGTTCAATGGAAAATCTGATTTTAGCATTTGGAAACAAAAAATAAAGTGCATTTTAATTCAACAGAAGTCTTTTAGGGTTGTTGGTCAGACTTATTTGACTTCTGACACTTAAGGAAAAAGAGCGGAAAAGAGCGGAAATGAACGAAAATGCTTGTTCCATAATTTATTTGAACTTAGCTGACTCTGTGATTAGAAAAGTTGGAATTTTGGAATCTGCTAAAACCCTTTGGGAGAAACTTGAAGAACTCTATACTGAAACCTCTTTGCCCAGTAAAATATTTTTGCTTGAAATTTTTTCAAATTTAGATTGGATATGTCTAAGAATATTGAGGAGAACCTAGATATTTTCACAAAACTTATTTCAGATATTAAGTTAACTGGTGATAAACATATAGATGACTATACTCCTATTACCCTTCTAAATGCTATTCCTGACTCATATAGTGATGTGAAATCTGCTATTAAATATAGTAGAGATGAGGTTACCCTTGACATTGTGGTCAATGGTCTTAAGAGTAAGGAATTAGATTTAAAACATTCTAGGGAAAATAATAATTCCGGTGAGGTTATGCATGTGAGGGGTAGGACTCATAATAGGTCTAATAACCAAAAGAATGTTAGTAATAGGGAATCAAGTAAGAAAATATTCGAAAATGAAAGGGGTAGATCTAAGTTTAGGTCTAAAGTTAGAAGATGTTATAACTGTCATGAAACCGGTCACTTTATTAGAGATTGTCCTAAGCCTAGGGAAAATCAACAAAATGATCATACTAATATGGCTGTCTGTGAGGGCGAAATGGGTGAAATTTTCATGATTAATGATCTGTGTGATTATGCATATTTGAACTCTGTGTTATCTGATTCTTTGTGTAAATCAGATTGGTTGGTAGACTCTGGTTGTACTTTTCATATGACTCCATTTAAAAAAATGTTTTCAAACTACAAGAAAATAAAGAATGGCTTTGTGTCAATGGCAAATGAAAAGAAATGCAATGTTTTAGGAACAGGTGATGTATGCCTTAGGTTTTCTTCTGGTTCTGTGTTTACTTTGAAGGATGTTAGGCATGTTCCTGATTTACGTTATAACTTGATTTCTTGTGCATCTCTAGAAAATGATAGTTTGGAGGGAAAATGGTGTTCCTGATTTACGTTATAACTTGATTTCTTGTGCATCTCTAGAAAATGATAGTTTGGAGGGAAAATGTGGTAAAGGGGTTATGAAAATTCTAAAAGGGTTTTTTGTTATTTTTACTGCTGAAAAACAAAATAACTTGTATGTTTGTCATGCTGAACGTGTGCTTGATTCTGTTAACTCTGTGATAGGTGATAAATCTGTTTTCTGGCATAATAGATTAGGTCACATCAGAAATAGAGGATTAGAAATTTTGCATAAAGGTGATCACTTTGGTAGTGACAAAGGATCCTCAACAGAGAGGATGAAAAATAATTTGAGGATTTTCGGGAGTGCTGCCTATGTGCATCAAAGGATTGATAAGTTAGAACCTAGATCTAAGAAATGTGTTTTCTTAGGATACCATGAAGGGGTAAAAGGTTATAGGCTTTGGAATAAGAGTGAACTGAGATTTAAGGTAGTGATAAGTAGAGATGTTATTCTTAATGAAAATAAATTTCCTTGTTTACCTTTACCTGTCCCTATTTCTGAAAATGATGCTCCAAATGAGGTGGAGCAATTACCTATTATTAATCAACCTGAATCACATCCTGAAGATATAATTATTGAAAATCAAGATGAGATTATTCCTAATAAGGTGGAGCATGATATGCAGGAAATAGATAACATGCATGATTTGAATGATTATCAACTCACTATGCATAGAAATAAAAGAACTATTAGGAAACCTGAGAGATATAAAGATTGCAATTTGATTGATTGTAATATGTCTGAGTTTGCTTTTAATGTGTTTGAATCCCTTGAGTGCAATGAACCTAAGATTTATAGGGTTCGGTCCTTTGTGGACTTGGCATTGAATTTTGATTTTGGGTAATCTTTCCTTTGTTTTGTGTGTTGCCTTTGTGGCCTATTAACTTGCTTTGTGCTTGTTAGTAGCTTTGTGATTTTTTCCCTTTGAACTCGATGACCGTTTGGTAAAGTTCGGTCCTTTGTGGACTTGGTATGCTTGGTGATCTTACCCCGATCTTTGTGATCTGAGTTTACTTTGTGTATTCTCTCCCATTGCTTGTATCTTCTTTGTGATCATACAGGTAATGGTT